GCGCCCGCCGCGGGGCTCCGGGTTGCTACCGCCGTGATGTCACTCGCCCATCCTAACCCGCGGTTGGCTGTTTTGTGTTTCAGCTCTGCCTGCAGTTGCACACAAAGACCTGGAGGAGGGAACTCCCACGTCCTCGAGGAGAAGAAAGGAGGCGGCGAAGCAGATTACAGGAACTTGTGGCTCGTGGCCCTTCTGCGCCCGCGCTGCCCGGACCGGCCCGGGGACAGTGAGTGTGAAGCCGCAGTGGCGGTGCCTGGGCTGTGAGATGAGGCGCTGCCGCCGCCGCCGCTGCTGACACTCAGGTTCCCGGTCCGTCCGCTGCCCTTTGTGCTTCGTGTACATGTGTCTGTTCAGCGCACCCGGAGGCGCCCAGCAGAGAATCCAACACGGCCGCCGGGGAGAGACCGCCCACCATGCCCACGGAGACCCTACAGACAGGTAGCATGGTGAAGCCGGTCAGCCCCGCGGGCACCTTCACCTCGGCGGTGCCCCTGCGCATCCTCAACAAGGGGCCCGACTACTTCCGCAGGCAGGCGGAGCCGAACCCCAAAAGACTCAGCGCCGTGGAGAGGCTGGAGGCCGACAAGGCCAAGTACGTCAAGAGCCAGGAGGTCATCAACGCCAAGCAGGAGCCCGTGAAGCCGGCCGTGCTGGCCAAGCCCCCCGTGTGCCCCGGCGCCAAGCGCGCGCTGGGCAGCCCCACGCTCCGGGTGTTCGGGCCCAACGCCAAGACCGAGAGCGGCGTGCACAGGGAGACCCTGAAGCTGGAGATCCTGAAGAACATCATCAACAGCTCGGAAGGCTCCAGCTCCGGCTCCGGGCACAAGCACAGCTCCCGCAACTGGCCTCCGCACCGGCCCGACGCCACCGACCTGCACCGACACTCCTTCGCCGAGTCCCTGAAGGTCTACCCGACGCAGGGCCGGGGCAGCCCGCAGGAGAGCAGCTCCCACGTGGGCAGGAGGCTGCTGGAGCAGACCGCCGAGTCCTTCCTGCACGTCTCCCACAGCTCCTCGGACATCCGCAAAGTGACCAGTGTGAAGCCCCTGAAGGCGATCCCCTGCAGTAGTTCCGCCCCTCCCCTGCCCCCCAAACCCAAGGTTGCAGCCATCGCCCCCATGAAGTCCCCCGACGCCGCCGACCCGGCGGAGCCGGCCTGCGGAGTCAGCCGGAGACCCTCCCTCCAGCGGTCCAAGTCGGACTTGAGTGACAGGTACTTCCGCGTGGACGCAGACGTGGAGAGGTTCTTCAACTACTGCGGACTGGACCCCGAGGAGCTGGAAAACCTGGGCATGGAAAACTTTGCCAGGGCTAATTCTGACATCATATCCCTCAACTTCCGCAGTGCCAGCATGATCAGCTCGGACTGTGAACAGTCGCAGGACAGTAACAGTGACCTTAGAAACGAGGACAGTGCCAATGACCGGGTGCCATACGGCATTTCTGCGATCGAAAGGAATGCCAGGATCATCAAGTGGTTATATAGCATCAAACAAGCTAGAGAGTCCCAGAAGGTCTCCCACGTGTAAGAGACAGTGCGCGTGTGCGAAGGAGGGTGGGGGTGGGTCTCTTGTCTGTGCGTCCGCCCTTGTGAAGGTCGTGAGGTCTCCTTGAAGTGTTGTGAGCTTCTCCGCTCTCTTTGTGTTGCTTGTTGTGCAATGTTTTCAAGTTGCATGCCTGTCAACATGGGGACTGACCTGGCATCCCAGTCAACCATCGCTGCAGAGCCTGGCCGAACACACGCGACCTGCCAAAAAGTTTCAGGCCAGATTCGGATTAGGGCTTTGATCTCAAGCAAAACTGTTTACACCTGAAAAACGGTATACAACTTCTTCAATATTTATGTGGTTCTTGTGTTTTATATCCCGCGCTATTGTGTCTTAATTAAAAGTTTTATCAACTGGCTTGTAAGTGGAGAGGAGCATCTTTTTGAAACAAAAAGCAACTTTGCCTACGTGTGACACCAAAACACGAGGGAAATAAATGGAACCTGCTAACCAAACTGATAGAGTCACTGACCTAAGATAGAGAACCAGGCTGGGTTTTCTGAGGAAAGAACGTGGTGAGCCTGATGTTAACGCCTTACATACTGCAGTTCTCTTGCCCCTTGCTAAAGTAATGGTTGGGGCAACAATGCTACGTCCTGTGTCCTATTTAGTGTGTAAATAAACATTGGTGGCTCTGTGTAATACTGACCCCAAGAAAAGACAATCAGATACAATGAAGGTGATTATATCTAGGAGGTTGAATGTCCGGGGTTTTGTTGATATCCTTCTGATTTGGGTTTATTCAGAAGTTTCTACTATTAATCTTTTGACAGGAATGGCCACTCTGAAGTTGTTACTCAATGTCTTTAAATTTGGGGGGGGGGGGGTATTTTTGGTCAATAACTAATGCCATGCTGATTCTCTTCCCTCCCTCCTTCCCTTCCTTTGTTGTTGTTTTATTTGGGAGAGAGGACAAGGGAGTGGGGCTGGTACAGGTCTGTGCTATCTGAAGACACGAACCCACACAGAAATACCAGCCATATTAGTATCGAGCCTCCTATTCAACAGTGAATGCCTTTGGTAGCTGAATCATATCTGAGCAGTGTGGTTGTGTGGTCTTGCCTATGTTATTCGCTCAGACTCTGGGCCTTTGTTACAACCCTAGGAAACCAGAAACACGACACTATATAGCCCCGGCCCTCCCGCCCCCCTCCATGGTCTCTAGTGCTACATATCAACTCATTCCCTTTCTCCGCCAATAACCTGTCTTCCAGTTAGCTGTCAACCAGCTGACAGTTGTGGTGTGGTAGCAAGAGGTACACATGCAGTGGTCTGCTTCATTGCTCTTGTAGTTACGCTCTAAAATTCAGGAGCACTACCTTAGACTTCGTCAGCTAATAAGAAACTTTTTATGGTGTAAATGCTGTAAGACTTTGTACATACTTCAGTTGTTATGAAAACTTGAAGAAAACAAAGGAAAACTTATGCTAATAAATAGCTCTGGTGCAGGCACTAATGGTGGTGGTTTCTCTTTGTACTTTCCTTTGCTCTCTCCATGGAAGTTTAACTTTGGCCTGTGAGCCAGAAGCGGATTTTTGATGGTCTTCAAGAAACATTGTTTTATTACGTTATTTTCCCCATATCACAATTATTTGGAACATCAGTGTTCTTAATTGTAGCTCCAGCAATGTGCTTCTGCTTAAATAGTTGCATCAAGGCTCCTAAAAATATGCGGCCTCTTTGTTACTTAGTTCACACTTCAGTTATTTTTATCTTTTCTTAAACAACAAGACCTTTTACATCTTCCACTAGACTCTGGAGTTGTAACTATGAATGAATTCTTACAGTGGAGATATACCTTGGAAATTTACAGCCTTGTTCTTATTTTTATACAGGCCCAACATCATTTAACATGACACGTGTTCATACATTTGTCATTCATTCATTCATTCTTTTTTCAACAGGTCACTTGTCCAGTGAGTCCCTTTTTCAGGCTTCACGATAGACACGTGACTATTGTGGTCAACAACAGAGTCTCTGCCTCAAGGAACTTAGATTTTCACATTTATTTTAAGAGAAATATTCCTCTTAGTGGAAATGTCTTCTCTCCTGTTAGGACATTGAGTATTCAACGAGTATTTATTGAATTATTATTCTAACATTTCTTCAAAATTCCATATAATATGTAAATATAAAAGGAAGTATTATTTTAAACGTCATTTTCAGAAACAGAAATGATGTGATTCCCAGCTATTACTGTACATAAACATTTTCCTTCTGAAAATCAAATTTGGTTCCTTGACTCTCTCTCTCTACTGGTTTTGAATTCTTTCTGCTTCTCTGATTAATTTTCAGTTCCACTAGAACTGTACTTCCCAAAAGAATCATTTCGAAATTCGTCTATGAGTGGTGATTATACCGTGCAATTAAGATAATGGGATGAAAATACACACACACACACACACACTTCCTTCACCATTGGGCTAGAAACGTGGCCATTTAAAATATTCAAGGCTTATTAGCATTTATATATCCATTTTTTGGGGGGCTATTGAAATACCAAAAATAGATGTTCTTTTTCTAAGAAAACCAGTTTGTTTGGGAGATGAGCACCTCTTTGCTAATTTAGTATCTATGCCTATGCTGTTTTAGTCATAAATTCTATTGAATCTTTCAACATTTTGAAACCGCATTAAATTGTATTCCAAGGGGGTTATAAATCATCCCACTATAATTCAGCCTAATATTCTGTGGCCTTATTTTTGGTTCCCTTTATGGAAGGCAGGCACTCATTTTCTTTTTGTTCCTGAGATTAGAGTTTCTATAAAGGACTAATTCAAATGCTTAATAGTAAATCCTAAGAGGGAGCTGTTTCCTGATGGTGAAGTCTTTTAAGCAAAATGCTCATTCTATTAAAGCATGGAAGTAAGTAGTGTGTGTGTGTGTGTGTGTGTGTGTGTGTGAGATGATGGTATGAATACAGGGTTGTGATACAGTTCAGCACACTTTCCCCCTCTACAATGCAGAATGAAGTATGATTGCACTGGATGGCCCTGGAAACTGAGGTTTCTTTCTGGGGAAAAAAACAAAAACAAAAAAACAGCAATTTTTAAGACAATTCTCCCATATGCACCTCCTCTGCCATTGTCTTCGTTCTAACTCTCATCTTCTCTTACCTGAACTATTGTTCCTAGAACTTCCTAACTGGAAATCTCCCTCCCCCTCAGCAAGGCTCTTCACAGCCTGTCTCATGCCAGAGATATCAAAATCAACTCCGATTATGTAAAAATGTCCTCTATGTAAAATTATCCTCCACCTTGAGTATTTTGCTGACAGTATAAATCCTAACTTCTTAACAAAGAATGTTGGGCACTTACCTTTCAGACTTCATCTTCTCTGTCCCCTTCAGCCACCCATCCCAGTTACCAGGCTCTAAGCAAAGGAAGTTTCCATTGGAAACATGTTACCACTGTGTTAATGACTTATTGCTGTGTAGCAAATTTCCTCAACATTCAACAACTTAGAACGATAACTGTTTAGTATCTCTGTTTCTTTGGTTCAGGAACCCTGGAGTGGCTGAGCCATATGGTTCTGGCTCAGGGTGTCTCATTAGGCTGCAGACACGACATCAGCTGAGGCTGTATCATCTGAAGGCTCGACCGGGGCTGGAGAATCTAATTTCAAGATGGTTCACTTGGTATTGGCAAGAATCCTTACAACCTGGCATCTGGCTTCCCCCAGATAGAGTGACCTGCAAGGAAGCTACAATGCCTGTTGTGATCCAGTATGCTGAAGCGCACCCACCACCACATTCAGTTCATTGAGAAGTGTGTCACCAAATCAGCCTGCACTCGTGGAGGGGAGTTAGACCTCATCTTTTAAAGGAAGGAATATTCAAGAAGGTATGGACATGTTTTGAAATCACCACTGCTGCTGAGGTTCAGTAGCTTTTCACTCTGTGAAGAAAGCTTTCTCTTCCCTCCTTGACCTTCAGATCCTTGTTCTTTCAAGATCCGATATAACTATCAACCAGTGAGACTATTTTGAGTTTCTATGTTGCCCTTTAGTCTAGGTCAGCCGTGGGCAAACTACGGCCCATGGGCCAGATCGGGCCCGTTTGAAATGACTATCTTCCGGCCCGCAGAGCCGAAAGAGCGAAGGGTTCTCTTGCTCTCCCCTCCGCTCCTTCACCAACCGTACCCTTTTATGTAATGATGTTTACTTTGAATTTATATTAGTTCACACAAACACTCCATCCATGCTTTTGTTCCGGCCCTCCGGTCCAGTTTAAGAACCCATTGTGGCCCTCGAGTCAAAAAGTTTGCCACCCCTGGTCTAGGTAGTCTAAATGGTGCCTTTGTGAGAATTTTTAAATGGTATGCCTTTCTCAGAAAGTTTTATTTTCTGCCAAGAAAAAAACACACCTGTCCTAGTAAATTTACAAATACCAGAGAATTATGATGTAAACTATGGCCCCAGGGTTGGGCAGTGCATAACACGCAGCCCAGAGTAGATGGTCAATACTTAAGTGTTGAGTGAATTTTTCCTAACCTATCACGTTCAAGTCCTGTGCTACTTACACTTTAAATGTTATCACAATGAACCTAAGGGGGGTGGTAGTTGACCCATTTTAGAGGTTATGAGCTGCAATTTCCAAGGAGATTAAGCCCTTGAACCAAGATCCCGGAGAAAGTAAGGGACAGAATGGCACTTGAGCTAAAGTCTCTGAGTCCACCTCTGCCCTCCTGCAGCCCAGCTCACAAGGAGAGGCAGACTGAGTGTTGTACTTAAGAATAGAAGTGCCCTCAAGTTCATCTTCATCTTCATGCTTTTATCTGCTGCCTGCATATGTAAACATGTCTCAGTCAGACATTTAGCAATTTCACCCTTACCTAAATGGTAACCAATAAAAGTTAGAAAAAAGACTTCAACTGTTCTATTAGAAGTCACATACTGCCCACTGAGTTCAAAGAGACAAGGCTATGCAGTCTTTCAGTTTTGAAAGTGCTATGTTTTGCAGCCACATCCTGCCTATTTTGATCAAGGACTTTCAGAAGGGCGAGCGGCAGAGAAGAGTGTCTGGCCACAATTCAATGATCAGGAAACACATTTGGACGCTTTGGTGACTCAGCATCTCTCCATTCCCCCATCTTTGAGGATTTCCATGGTGTGGTCAGACCACACCGGGGAAGGAATAAAAAAAGTAAAGCGTGCTCCTGAGGAACTGAATAGATCCTTCACTCAGGAAGTACACTGCCATATTGAACATGTCACATTCCCCCTCTGTCCTGTGTAATGACAGAGTTCCGTGGGCTTCTGCAGGGCTATCCACGAGCAGCACCGTGAGGACCACAGGCTCAGAGCCTGCATGTTCGGTTCTGAACGAGAGGGTTTCTCTCACGTGCTGAGCTCGTGCCCCCCTTGCTTTGGCAGAAACCCAGCAGAAGGAAAAACCAGACAGACAAGGGCCCCCGCAGCCTTTTGGAACCCCTTCGTCCAATACCTGAGACCCATCTGCATAAGAGTTTGCCTCCACTCTCTCGTGTGTAAAATGGGAGCAAAGCCATTTGCTGCACGTGTCCCCTTGGCCTTGGGACTTTGGGACAGTGCTGAGAGCTGGGTTTTGGAGCATCAGTTTGAGGTGTGAGGACGTGAAAATGTAGAGAAGACTGGGTTCCTAGTGTCATGGCAGGTGGGATGGCAGGCAAGGCCTGATGGGCCCAAGCAGCTCACTGAATTACGCTTTATGTGTCAGCTGCTTGAGAGTTTTAGTTGGGGGAAGAAATGAAGTCTGTAAATGGATTCTTCTCTAAATGGAAGGGATCTCCAAACACTTTCTTAGGTCAGAAGCAGGCAGAATTGAACGTGGCCAAGTACACACCAATGAATGTACAGTTAAGCGAATAATAATAATGGTAGAAGCTTTTGCTCATCGAGCATCTCACTCATTTCACATTCATGAAACAACTATCAACATGTCTTAGATGTGATGCTAAGTTGTCACATTATCTCATGTTATTCTCATTAGAACCTTCGAAGTAAATTAGAACCCATTTGCCCACGAGGGATCTTAGGATTAAGCTGCTTCTCAGAGGCACACATCCAATAAGCGGAGAAGGTAGTAAAGCAGCTCTTCAGACTCATTCCATCATGAAATTTTAGCATCTAGTCTGGTGGGGGCCGTGTTTGCTCCTCTGCAGTAAGTTGTATTGCAGACCATTTCTCAGAAACTTAGCACACTAGTGTGTGTACTGTATTGTGATCCTTCTATCCAGGGAGTGACTCTATACATCCTATTTGATCACATCAGGACTGAAGCTTCCAGGTTCTGAGAGGGGCATTAGTGATCAGCTGTCCCCCTCCATGGAATTTTACAGAGGCGGAAACAGATGCAGGGAACAGAGGTGGTGGGAGTCGGCCAGGGCGGTAGAGCAGGTTGATTGCAGATCGGGGGGTGGGGAGAAGGAGCAGAAGAGACTGATGCTCCGAGGCCCTCGCTAAGTACCTGGTAGG